GCGGCACTGACAGACCCCTCTCGTCCCTCCCTCCCTCCCTTCCTCCCTCTCTCCCTCCTCTCGGCACACACGCGCACCCGCAGAACCGCGCCTACGCCACCTCGCAGCTGTCGGACCTCGTCACAAAACTGCGCTCCACCGACCAGTCTGTCGCGCACCGCTGCAACATTGGCCACCTCTCGCCCCTCATCGTCCAGCTCCGCCAGCACCTCACCACCTCCAAGGGTGCGGGCTCGGGCTCGGGCTCGGGCGCGGGCTCGGGCTTGGCGGGCGCGGGCGCGAGCGACGGCGCGGGCGGCCTCGCGACGCCCTCGTCGGCGGCGGGCAAGGGCAAGGCGCGCGCCGACGACCAGGACGCTCCCGCTCCCGACTCGTCCTCCTCGGCGGCGGCGGCGGCGCAGCAGCAGCAGCAGCAGGCCAAGAAAGACCTCGTTGCCAAGCTCGGCGAGACGCAGCTCGCGCGCGTCGTGCGCGACGCGACAAAGCTCAGCAGCGAGGCGAGCCACGCGCTCGTTGGAGCGCTCGTCAAGGACGCGCTGTTCAACGGAGGGAGGCTGGCGGCTGCTGGGGCGGGTGCGGGTGCGGGTGCGGGTGCGGGTGCGGGTGCGGGAGGAGGAGGAGCGGGAGGTGGAGGAGCGGGAGGTGGAGCGGCCGAGCGCGAGGGCGGGCTCAAGCTGCCGCCGGTCGTGCTCTGAGCGGGGTCGTCGTCGCCCCTGCACCAGGGCGTGCCCAATCTCTCACTCTCGTTCACTCCCTTCTCTGCCTCTCTCTCTCTCTCTCTCTCTCGCAGTGCCCCCCTTCGTCTCTCGTCTCTCGTCGCAGGTTCCCCTTTCGTCTCCCCCTCCTCTCGCTTGTGTAGACCACTGCAGCGCGCCGCCCCGCTTTTTCCTCGCCGTCTCTCGGTCGCACAGCCTCGCTCAAAGAGAGAGAGAAAGAGAGAGAGACGCTCTATGTAACAGGCGCGAGGCGCAATGGTAGCTCGATCGAGGAGGAGGAACAGCGAGCGAGGGGGAGGGATGGGGAGAGGGACAACGACAACGAGAGTTCTATGTACATGACCGCCTTTCCTTCCTTCCGACCCAGTCACGCCGCCGACTCGCCGCCATAGTCGGCCCGGAAGTCGTGCTCGAGTACCGCACGCCCTGCGGCGCTCAGGACGGGCCGACCGTCCCACGTCGAGACGTCCTCGGGCTCGGGCTCGAAGAAGCGCGGGACGTAGCTGCGCCGGTGGACGAGTTCCTGAGTCAGTTCCGTGCTCGTCGAGCGAGTAGAGAAGAGATAGAGAGAGAGAGAGCGACCGCCCGACGCACCTCTCGCCCTTCTTCTTCCTCTCGTCGGCCTTGTCGCGCTGCGCCTGCTCGATGCGCTGCTTCTCGCGGCTCGCCGTCGCGAAGTCCTTGTTGTGCAGCGCGTCGATGACGGGCGCCCACACGCGCCGCGTCTCGAGCTCGTCCTGCTCCGACAGCGGCGCGACCGTCTTTGGCGCGACGGCGAGCGGCACGAGGTCGACCAGCGTCGTCGAGGTCTGCGCGAGGGGGGTTCGGTCCAGAGGCGTCAGTCACTGGCACACGTGCTTTCAGACGTCGTGCACCGCCGACAGGGGCAGCGCACGGCGCCAAGAGAGAGAGGAGCGAGCGCCGACGCACCGTCTCGCCCGCCTTTTTCCACCGGATCTCGCCGCGCCAGTTGCCCTCGAGCGTGCCGACGACGCGCTCCTTGGGGACCTGCTTGATGCGCGAGAAGCGCTGCTGCTGCTGCTGCTGCTGTTTGTCGCCGCCGCCGTCGACCTCGCCCGCGACCGACTCATACACGACGCCCTCGACGGCGAATCGAGGGCGCGAGATCCAGCTCTGCAGGCGAGGTGCGTCGCGAGGGTGAGTCTCGAGTCCGCTGTGGTGGCGGGAGGGAGAGAGAGGGAGAGAGGGACGCACCTCCTCGCGGTACTCGACGATGGCCCTCAGGCGCTTCCTGGACCCGTCCTGCCCCGCCTTGCCCCTGCCCTCGCGCACCGACGTCACGGTGACGACGTCCGAGATGGTGGCGTACGGGCTCGCGCGGATGAGGCCCGCGACGGCCGCGACCGGGTGCGTCATGTGGAACTCCTCGCCGTCGGCGAGCTCGAGGAAGAGGCCCTTGTTGTGCTGCCCGGGCACGATGCGCACGTTGGCGCCCGTGAACTTGGCCGACAGCTGGTCGACGCCGCGGAGCCGGACGACGCGCTCGGTGGGCTCGCCGCTCGCGCCGCCGCCGGAAGAAGAAGAAGAGGCGAGACGGGCCTCGCACAGGAAGTGCGAGATGGGCGGGTGGTGCGATGTCTGCTCGTTAAGGATGACGACTCGCGCGGTGCGCTGTGGGCGAGAGCTGGCGGCGGACGACGAAGGCGCGACCGAAGACGAGGCGGACGCGATGGACGACGCCGAGGAAGGCAGGGTGCTGCTGCTCGGCTTGGGGCGCCGCGAGATGCTCGTGACGGACGGCGTCGACTTGAGCGCGGCGGCGGCCGTCACGTTGTTCGACGACGACGGACGGCCGGCGCACGCGAGCACCTCGGGGAGCGGGTTGTCGTCGAGGTGGGCCGTCGGGACCGGGTGGCCCTCGTGCGGGTCGAGCTCGAGCGGCGCAGTGTCGTACACGGCGCGAAAGTGCTCGCCGAGGACCGAGTTGAACGACTTGGCGATCGGGTGCTTGGCGTACTTGAGCCAGATGGTAAACTTGAACCGCAGGACGGCGAGGAGGCGCTCGAGCTCGTCGGCGTCGTCGTCGAGCGCGGCGAGCGAGGCAAAGAAGTCGGGGCGATCGATGTACGTCCAGTGCTCGAGGGTGCCGATCGGCTCCATGATGTTGGCCTGCCGGGGCGAGCGACGTCAGCTCCGGAGTGAGAGAGGTCGGCGGACGGGGAGGGGGGTTCGCGGCGGCGGCGGTGGTCGCCGAGACCGCCTGGCGCCTCGCGAAGGGGTGGACAGGGTGGAAGTGGGACGCACCGGCAACGAGATGCGGACGCTCGACAGATCCTTGACCGAGATGGTCTTGCGCAGGATCCCAAGGAGCGCCTTGAACTTGCCTGCGCGACGAGGGCGAGCGGTGAGCGGTCCGTGTCTCGCGAGCAGGCGACAATCGACAGGAAGGACAAGGTCGTGACGGACCCTGTTCGGTGTCCAAGTCGCCCTGGAGCTCGTCGGCGAGGCCCAAGTCGTCGCCGGTGGGCAGTGCCGGCGCCTGGTCGGCGTCGTCGCGGCCCGGGTCGAGCGAGGTGCGGCTGAGGTGGTCGCCGACTTCAGACACGTTGTCGGGCGTGACTGCGGCGGGCGTCGAGCCGCGAGAGCCCCTCCAGGACCACCGACTCGAGCCCTTGGTGGCCGGCGACGATGAGGTTGATGACATGGAAGTCGGGTGGGGCGAGAGCGGCTGTGGTCGGGGCGAGTGCGTGTAGGTGATGCGGTGGATCTGGCTGAGTAGATCGGCGTGCAGCTCAAGCCAGCAAAGGGCGAGCGCCGGTGTCGAAGACCAAGAGAGCGCAGCCGAGTCGGCGAACGTGCGGCTCGCGTCTCCGGCGCCTCACTCGCCAGCGGGACGCTTTCCTGCACCGCGAGCACTGTCCTGAGAGCTCTCGAGACCCAACCTGCAGCGCTAGTCGGTCCCGCTCGAGAGGACGCCGCTCGCCCGCTTCGTCCGCTCGGAGGCCGACCCGACCTCGTCGCCGCCCTCGAGTCGCACACGCAGCGCCTCCGAGTCCTCTCGCGCGCTGCAGCACACTCTCCGACGCTTCGTGCACAGGAAAGAGCACCTGCAATGCACGCCCGTCGCCCATCAACGGCCCCAAGAGCGCCCGCTCAGGCCGTCGCGGCCATCTCGCCCGTCTCCTCCTCCTTTGCCGCCTCCTCGACCGCCATGACCTTGTCGCCGTCCTCCTGGTCGACCGCCTCCTGCGCCTCGACGCCCTCGACGTCCGTCGCGGCCGGCGTGTTGTCGCCCGTCGTCCCGGGCGCCGACGACGCCGCCACGTCCTTCTTGGCCGCCGCGCGCTCCTGCATCTTGGCCTTGCTGTGCGGCGTGACGTCCTCGGCGTACAGCCGGAGCGAGAGTGCACTGCGGGACGCGAGAGAGGGTCAGTCTGGGTCCGCAGAGGCAAAGAGAGACCGACAGAGAGAGAGAGAGAGAGAGAGAAGAGCAAGCGACGCACGACTTCTCGAGCTTCTCGACCATGAGGTTGCAGCTCGTCTTGCTGACCCAGAACGCGAGGAAGAGATCCTCCTCCTTGCTGCGGAGGAGAAGGCAAGGCGGGCGAGGGCGGGCGAGGGTAGGTTGACGACGAGAGGGAGGAAGGAGAGTGAGGAGGGGAGAAGACCTTGTCAGGACCTCGCGCCTGTCGACCTCTGAGAGACACAAAGACGAAGAAGAGGGACGCACTCGGTGTCGCTGCCCTTGGCGCCCTGGACGTGGAGGACGGCGCTGCCCGGCTCGGTCGCCTCGAGCCTCTCCTTGAGCCCCTCCTCCGTGAGGTCCTCAAACTTGACGCTGACGGCGCCCATGACCTGCCGGAGCGTGTCGGCGCCGACCTTGATGACGCGCTTGTCGCTCAGGAACGGCCGCACGACGTCGAGGCCCTCGGCGTTGAGGCGCCACTTGCACGCGTACTGGCCGTTCGAGTCCTGGCGCGTAAAGAGCTTGACGCCGCACGAGATGAGGCGCATGCGCGAGTAGGCGTTGGACAGGAGGAGCTTGCGCGTGAGGAGCGACGTGAGGTAGATGGACCGCAGCGGCTGGCCGGCCGCGTTGCGCACGAGGAGCTCGCTGAACGGGAAAGCGTCCGAGATGCCGAAAAAGTCCCTGCGGGTGCGCGCGCGCGCAAGGCTCGTCAGTATCGTGTCGCCGGACAGGGTGCGAGGCGAAAGGGAGAGGAGGAAAGAGAGGGAGAGGTGCGACGCACTTGATGAGGCGGACCTGGTCGTCCTCGAGACCGGGGAGGTAGATGTACGGCTCCTCGTTGAAGGGCTTGCCGCCACCGAGGACAGGCTCCTTCTTCTCGACCGCCTTGGCCTCCTGCGGGGCGGCCGCACTCGCGTCCTTGGTCGCTGCCTCGCCGGCGTCCTGGCGCACCTTCTTTGCCTCGGGCTCGCCCTCGACGAGCGTCGGCGTCGCGGCGCGCTCGCGCTTCTCGGCCACAGGTGCAGGCGCCTCCTTCTCCTCAACCTTGCGCTCCTCCTCCTCCTTGCCCTCGGGCACGACAGGCGCGACCGCCGGTGCGGGCGCGGGCACGGGCTCGTCGCCGCCCTTCTTGACGAGCACGCACACGAAGAAGGCGCCCGTGTCCTGCAGGTGCGGGTACAGGCGCAGGGCGTGCTCGAGGCCCTTCTGCTTCTCGTCGCCGCGAGGCCACAGCGACTCGTCCCACACCTTGCGCCCGTTGCTGTCGAGCTTCTTCTCCTTCTTGCCCTTGCCCTTGGCGCCCTTGCGCACGCCGTCGCGCCCCTTGTCGTTGTCCTGCTCGACGGCGACGACGTCGTCGGCGTCGGGCGGCGGCGGGGCATCGGCGGCGGCGGCGGCGGCCGAGGCCGGGTGCGGCGCGTCCGAGAGCGAGTTGTCGAGCACGCGCCAGGTCGTCATGCCCGGGCGGCGCTTGAGCGCGGGGAGCTCGTCCGTGACGGGCAGGATCGACATGTCTGCGGCGGGCGGGCGGGCGGGCGAGGAGCGTCAGGGCCCGGGTCCGACAGGTAGGGAGAGGAGGGACGGAGGAGAGGACGCACCGGGGCAGAGCGACAGGGCCGAGCTGATGACCGACTCGTTCTCCATCGGGTTCATCGAGCACGTCGAGTAGACGAGGCGGCCACCGGGCTTGAGGAGCTGGATGCCGCGCAGGAGGATGCGCAGCTGGAGCGAGTGCAGGCCGATGCCGTTGCCGACGGTCCAGTCGGTCCAGATGCCGAGGTTCTTGCGCATCGTGCCGTCGCCCGAGCAAGGGACGTCGGCGAGGATGCGGTCAAAGAGCATGCCGTCGTACTGCTTGGCGAGGCGGTCCTTGGGCAGGTTGGCGACGCGCTTCTCGTCCTCGACCGTGAACTTGAGGCGCGACGAGCCCTCGGCAGCGGCGGCGGCGGCGACGTCCTTGGCGAGGCGCAGCGACGGGAGCTGAGTCGCGTCGTGGTTGGTCACCATCATGCCCGTGCCGGGCACGCGGTGGAGCGACTGGTGCACGAGGAGGTGGCAGCGCTTGGCGTCCGAGTCGTTGGCGATGAGGAGCCCTTGCTCGGTCGGGTCGGTCGCCAACCTCGGAGCGTGGAGCGCCTCGAGGATCTGGACGCTCTTGCTGCCCGGCGCGGCGCACATGTCGAGCGCCGTCATGCCCGGCCGCACGTCGAGGAGCAGAGGCGGGATCATCGAGACGGCCTCCTGGCGCGACAGGTTGCCGGCGTCCGTCTCGTACACGAGAAAGTGCTGAAACTTGCGGAAGTGCGGGTCCTTGCGGAGCGCGGCCTTGTGGACGGGGAGCTGCCACGCGAGCTGCTGCGGGTACCACTCGATGGGCTTTGGCGGCGCGAGCTTTGTGCCCTCGAACTCGATGCCGGTGAGGTACGGGACGTAGACCTGCTTGATGTGCTCGTGGAGGGCCGGGGCGGTCGCGCGCGAGCTCGTGAGGCGAAACGTGGTCGGGAGAGGCTCGCGCATCGACTTGGAGAAGGCGGCCCACTCGTCGTCGGGCACGATGCCCTGCGCCTTGTAGAAGTTCTCGAACGTCTCGTTGGACTGGCGTGTGGGCGTCGACGAGTCAGCTTTGAGAGTCGAGGGACTCGAGTCGGGGCGAGGGAGGGAGGGGAGGGAGGAGAGGGCGAGCGGTGGACACGGACCTGGTCGATGGGCCGCCATGCGCCGGTGCGCTCCTGCTGCGGGCCAGCGTCGCGGTCCTGCCGGGGCTTGTTGCTGCGGCGTTGCTGTGTGCGGGTGTGGGTGAGTTCGCCGTGTGGGAGAGAGAGGAGGAGGGAGGAGGAGGAGGAGGCGCACCGGTCTGCCCATGGTCGCGGCTGTCGAGAGCGAGCGTCTGGTGGGTGCTGTGCGGCGGAGCAACAGCGTCGGGGTGCGAGGAGAGCGAGAGTGATCGACGGGGAGCGATGTGGCTGTGGCCGTGCTCGCTCGTCGTCTCCTCCGCGGAGCTTGCGAGAGTCAACCTCGGCTCGGCTCTCTCGCACTCCTCCTCCTCTCGACGACTACCCAGCACCAGAGCCCAGAGCACCTCTCGCGCTCTCTCTCTCTGCCGCCGCACCCACCCCACCCGCACCGCCCGACGACCTTGTCCCACCTCGACCGACCAGACGACCTCATCGCCGCGAACATGGCCAACAAGGTCCTCCAGCGCGTCCTCGACCGCCTCCAGGACCTGCCCCAACTCGCCCTCCCGACAGACTACCCGCGACCGGCCGGCGACCACTCGCTGTCGCTCGTCGAGGCTCGCGAGCAGCGCCGCCTCGACTCGCGCACCGGCCAAGCCCTCTTGCGCCTGAGCCTGTACGACGACCACGACGGCGACACCGACACCGACGACTCGGACGACGACGACCAACAACCTGACGCGACGACGGGCATCCAGGCGCGCCTCGCCGCCAACAAGAGCCGCGGGCCGTCGGCGTTCCACATCCTCCTCGCCGCGTTCGCCGTCCTCTTGCACCGGTACACGGGCGACACGGACCTCGTCATTGCCACGTCGTCGCCCTCGTCGCCCGAGCCCCTCCTCCTGCGCATCAAGCTCGACACGACCGACTCGTTCTGGTCCCTCGTCAAGCGCGTCCAGTTCCTCGAGCAGGAGGCCGAGGACGACAAGGTGCCGTACGACGACCTCGTCGAGGCCCTCCCCGGCTACGCCAAGAAGGACCAGGTCGACGGCGCGCCCGCACCGCCGCCCGTGTTCCGCGTCCGGTTCATCGACCAGACCGAGCAGCCCGACTCGGCCTTCCTCGAGCAGACGTCGTCGACGACCGACCTCACCGTCTTTGTGTCGACCACGCCCTCGTCGTCGTCGGCGGCGGACGACTCGGGCGCGCACACGCCCGGCCTGTCGTCGGCGAGCGGCACGACGACCCCGTCGTCGCTCCGCACCTCGTTCCAGTTCACCCCGCCGCGCATCTCCCTCACCCTGTCGTACAACTCGCTCGTGTTCTCTCAGCCGCGCATCGCCCTCGTCCTCGACCAGCTCGCGCACCTCGTGCACCACGCGGCGGCGCACCCGCAGGACCAGGTCGGCAGCATCTCGCTCCTCACGACCCGCCAGCGCAAGCTCCTGCCCGACCCGCGCGCCGACCTCGAGTGGACCGGCTTCCGCGGCGCCATCACCGACCTGTTCAGCGCCAACGCGCGCGAGTTCCCCGACCGCTCGTGCATCGTCGAGAGCGTCGCCGACGACGCCGCCGGCGGCGAGCGCACGTTCACGTACCGCCAGATCGACGAGGCGAGCAACGTGCTCGCCCACCACCTCGTCGACGGCGGCGTCGAGCGCGAGGACGTCGTCACCGTGTACTCGACCCGCGGCGTCGACCTCGTCGTCGCCGTCATGGGCATCCTCAAGGCCGGCGCCACGTTTTCCGTCATCGGTGCGTCCTCTCTCTCTCTTCCTCTTCTTGCTCAAGGAGGAGCCACCCGGACTCAAGCTCTTTCCTCTCGACGCACGCAGACCCGGCGTACCCGCCTGCCCGCCAGACGATCTACCTCCAGGTCGCGCAACCGCGCGCGCTCGTCATCCTCGCCGCTGCCGGCAAGCTCCTGCCGCCCGTGCGCCAGTACGTCAAGGACAAGCTCGACATCCGCGTCGAGGTGCCCGCCCTCGAGCTCAAGGCCGACGGCGTCCTCCTCGGCTCGTCCGGCGCCTCGTCCTCGTCGTCGTCGTCGTCGTCGTCGGGCGACGTCCTCGACGCGCAGCGCTCGCGCGCCGCCGAGCCGCTCGGGATCGCGCTCGGGCCCGACAGCGTCGCGACGCTGTCGTTCACGAGCGGGTCGACGGGCATCCCCAAGGGCGTGCGCGGCCGGCACTTTTCCCTCACGCACTTTTTCCCGTGGATGCGCGAGCGGTTCGACCTGAGCGCCGAGAGCCGGTTCACGATGCTGTCGGGCATCGCGCACGACCCAATCCAGCGCGACATCTTTACGCCCTTGTTCCTCGGCGCGAGCCTGTACATCCCGACGGCCGAGGACATTGGGACGCCCGGGCGCCTCGCCGAGTGGATGGCCGACAAGCGCGTCACGGTGACGCACCTGACGCCGGCCATGGGCCAGCTGCTGTCGGCCCAGGCGTCGCGCCTCATCCCGTCGCTGCGCAACGCGTTCTTCGTCGGCGACATCCTCACCAAGCGCGACTGCACGCGCCTGCAGCAGCTCGCGCAAAACTGCCGCATCATCAACATGTTTGGCACGACCGAGACGCAGCGCGCCGTGTCGTACTTCCCGATCCCGCCCCTGTCCGAGGACCCGACGTTCCTCAAGACGCGCAAGGACATCATGCCGGCCGGCTCGGGCATGGTCAACGTCCAGCTCCTCGTCGTCAACCGCAGCGACAAGAACCAGATCTGCGCCGTCGGCGAGGTCGGCGAGATCTACGTGCGCTCGGGCGGGCTCGCCGAGGGCTACCTCCAGCTCCCGGACGCGACGCGCGACAAGTTTGTCGACAACTGGTTCGGCGCCGGCATCGAGCGCGACGACGCGATCCGCGACGGCGACGGCGACGGCGACGCGCCGTGGAAGCGCCACTGGCTCGGCGTGCGCGACCGCATGTACCGCACGGGCGACCTCGGGCGGTACAACCCGGACGGCACGGTCGAGTGCACCGGGCGCGCCGACGACCAGATCAAGATCCGCGGGTTCCGCATCGAGCTCGGCGAGATCGACACGCACCTGAGTCGGCACCCGGCCGTGCGCGAGAACGTGACGCTCGTGCGCCGCGACAAGTACGAGGAGAAGGTCCTCGTCGCGTACTTTGTCCCGCTCGTCGGCAGCAAGGAACTCGAAGGGCTCGTGTCGGGCGGCGAGGACGATGACGACCAGGGCGACGAGGGCGACGCGGCCGGCGAGGCGGCGAGGCGCAGCGGCGGCAAGGTGTCGCAGACCGAGGTCGCAAAGGGCCTCAGGCGGTACCGCAAGTTGATCCGCAGCATCCGCGAGTACCTCAAGACCAAGCTCCCGAGCTACTCTGTCCCTTCCGGTGCGTCCCCCTCTCGCTCTCTCTCGCCCGGCCTCGAACCGTGCCCTCGAGACTGACTGGGCCTCGCACGGTCCTCCTCCTCCTCCTCCCTCGCCCTCCCTTGCCCTCGATCCCGCTCCTCCTCGCCACGCAGTCATCGTCCCGCTCGCGCGCATGCCCCTCAACCCGAACGGCAAGGTCGACAAGCCGGCGCTGCCGTTCCCCGACACGGTCGCCGCCGCCGCCGCGCTCGTCTCGTCCGCTCCGTCGTCGTCGTCGGCCGGCGGCGCCAACGGCGCTCAGCAGCAGCTGTCGTCGACCGAGAAGACGATCCACGACATCTGGATGCAGCTCCTCCCGTCGCCGCCGGCCGAGATCCCGCTCGACGAGTCGTTCTTCGACCTCGGCGGCCACTCGATCCTCGCGACGCGCCTCATCTTTGAGCTGCGTCGCTCGCTCGCCCCAGGCGCGCCGCTCGGCCTCGTGTTTGACTTCCCGACGATCCGCGCCCTCGCCCACGAGCTCGACCAGCTCCGCAACGCCGACCTCGGCCTGGCGTCGGGCGACAAGAAGCCGTCGGCCGGCGCCGAGGCGGCCGCCGCCGCCGACAACGAGTACTCGGAGGACGCCGACAAGCTCGTGTCGTCGCTGCGCGCGTCGTACGACAAGCCGACGTCGACCGGCGCGCGCAGCGGCGACGGCCAGGTCGTGTTCCTCACGGGCGCGACCGGGTTCCTCGGCGCGTTTATCCTGCGCGACCTGCTCGACCGCACTCGGCGCGGCGACAAGGTGCGCAAGGTCGTGTGCCACGTGCGCGCCGGGTCGGCCGACAAGGCGCTCGCGCGCCTGCGCGAGAGCGGCGAGGGCCGCGGCGCGTGGGACGACGCGTGGGTGAGCGAGGGCAGGCTCGAGGTCGTCGTCGGTGACCTTGAGGGCGACAAGCTCGGCATGAGCGACGACGACTGGACGAGGGTCGCCCAGGAGGCCGACGTCATCGTGCACAACGGCGCCATCGTGCGTCCCGCCTTTCTCCCTCTCCCTCTCTCTCTTTGTTCCCCTTCCAGCTCTCGGTCGGCCACGAGGATCACGTATTGACGTCGCACGTCGTCTCTCTCTCCCTCGTCGCAGGTCCACTGGGTCTACCCGTACAAGCAGCTGCGCGCCGCCAACGTCCTCGCGACGCTCGCCGTCATCGAGCTCGCGGCGACGACTCGGCCCAAGGCGCTGTCGTTCGTGTCGACGACGGCCGCGATCGAGAAGGCGCACTACGTGCGCCTGTCGGAGAGCATCAAGCAGGCCGGCGGGCAGGGCGTGCCCGAGTCGGACCCGCTCGACGCGGGCAAGCAGGGGCTCAAGGGCGGGTACGGCCAGAGCAAGTGGGTCTCGGAGCGCCTCGTGCTCGAGGCCGGCCGGCGCGGCCTCGCCGGGTCGATCGTGCGGCCGGCCTACATCGTCGGCGACTCGCAGTCGGCCGTCACCAACACGGACGACTTCCTGTGGCGCCTCGTCAAGGGCTGCATCCAGCTCGGCCACATCCCCGACATCCACAACACGATCAACATGGTGCCGGTCGACCACGTTGCGCGCATCACGGCGTGCGCGGCGCTCCAGGACCCGTCGACGCCGCTCAAGGTGCACCACGTCACGGCGCGCCCGATGCCGCGCTTCAACTCGTTCCTCGCCGCGCTCAAGCTGTTCGGGTACGGCGTCGCGACGACCGAGTACCTGCCGTGGCGGACCTTGCTCGAGCAGCACGTCCTGCGCGTGCAGGACAACGCCCTGTTCCCGCTCCTCCACTTTGTCCTCGACGACCTCCCGACCTCGACCAAGGCGGCCGAGCTCGACGACGCCAACACGGTCGCGCTCCTCAAGGCGGCGCAGCAGCCCGAGGGCGTCACGGTCGACGACGAGCAGATGGGCCGGTACCTCGCGTGGCTCGTCGCGGCGGGCTTCCTCGAGGCGCCGCCGCGCGAGGGCGAGCAGGGCGTCAAGCCGCTCCCGCAGCTCGAGCTCCAGGTCGGCGGTGCACGCGCCATCGGTCGCTCGAGCGCGGGCAAGTAGAGCTGTGAGGGGGAGCGAGCGCGGAGGAGGGACGACTCGAGCGAGGAGGTTTCTCTCCCCCTGCGTCCAAGTTTGATAGACAGCAATGAGCAACAAGGATCTTTGTCCGTATGCAGCAGCAGTGCAGCTCGTCGAGCGAGACGGAAAGGCGAGACTCTGAGGCGGTTCCTTCGACGTCCGCTCGCCTCGTCCGGCTCGAGCCCTCCCTCCTCTCAGCCTTCGCTACACGTGCACCAGCACGCCCTCGAGCGCCATGCCGCTACCCCGGCCCGTCAGCTCTGCCGACATGCGCAGCGCCCACGCCTCGGGCTCGCTCCCCGCCTCGCCAGCTCCTCGCGGCGCCGGCAGCAGCAGCAACAGCGCCCAGCTCGGCCTCAAGCTCGCCGTCGAGCGCGGGGCCTACGTCGCAGGGCAGCAGGTCAAGGGCGTCCTCGAGCTCAGCGTCAAGGGCCAGCTCGCACTCGGCGAGGTTGGCATCGAGTTCCTCGGCGTCGAAGGTGCGCCCAGCTCTCTCTCCCTCTCTCGCGGGTGTGCGAGTGGGTGGGACAAGCGTGTGCGACTGCTGGGGAGTGCACACGGTCGGACAGCGGTGGTGGATGGGCGCCCATGAGTGCGAGGACGTCTCTCCCCCCCTCCCCTCTCCGCGCGTCAATCAACACGGCTCGCAGCACCTCGTCCACCTCCTCACGGGGCTGTCCCACAGCGCGGAGCACCTTCCACAGTGTGCAAGAGCACGTATGCTGACCCGCCCTCGTCGCATGCAGAGCTCCGCTCGCGCGACCACACCTCGACCCGCCGCCTCCTGTCGGACCGAGTCGACTTCCAGGGCAACGGCCTCCCGCCGTCCAACGCCGTCAAGCCCGGCACCAAGCCAATCCAGGGCTCCTTCTACCCGGCCCTCCCCGGCCGCACCCGCTTCGCCTTTGCCTTCACCATCCCGGCCTCGCTCCCCTCGACCTGCGCGCTCGGCTCAAACGCCCAGACGCGCTACGAGCTGCGCGCGTTCGCGAGCTCGCTCGTCGACGGCAGCGTCGACTTGCGCAGCGAGAAGCTCGACGTGCGCGTCGTCGAGCGCTGGGGCGACTGGCGCGACGAAGAGTGGCAGACGCCGCTCGAGCGCACGGCGCAGGGCACGCTCGCGCGCGGTGGCGACGGCGCACTCGAGCTCGTCGCGAGCGTCGGCAAGGGCGAGTGGGCGCTGCGGCCGCCGAGGCTGTTCTGGCGCTCGGACGGCGACATGGACGTCGCCGGCAAGGGCAAGGTCGAGGTGCGCGCCCACGTCCGCAACCTCAGCAAGCGTCACGTGCGTCCCCCTCGCTCCTCTCTTCCCTCTTTTTGTCACCCTGACGAGACACTTATCGCGCCGCGCCCGTCGAAACAGGTCACGGGCCTCAAGCTCTCGCTCATCCGCCGCCTGCGCGTCCTGTACCCGCAAGGCGCTCGCCCTGTCGTCGAGCCGCCCGTCGTGTCGAGCGTCGTCGTCGCCGAGCGGTTCCACGGCATCGACTACGACGTGCGCAGCGGCGGCGAGCGCGACGCCGTCCTCGCCCTGCAGGTCCCGACCGACGAGTGCTGGACCGTGCGCAAGGGCACCCTGTTCGAGCTCGACGTCGTGCTTCGTGTCGAGGTCGAGTGCGGCTTCCTCCAGTGCGTCCTCTCTCTCTTTCTCTCTCTGTCACTCTACGAGCGTGCCCTGACGCTGCTGCACGGACGCAGGAAACCGCTCTCCGTCGACCTCCCGATCTGGATCGCCCACCCGCTGTCGCTCCCGAACAGCGCGCACCGCTTCGCCGACGAGGAGCGGGCCCGTCTCGCGCCTGCCGCCGCGCCCGTCCAGGCGCCGGCCCTCGCGCCCACACCGTCGCCTCAGCCGTCCATCCCGTACTCGCCCTCGACGGTCGGCACCTTTTCTTCGCCCGCCGCGCCGTACCACACCTTGTCGCCCGAGCCGTACGCCCCGGCGTTCGCGCACGGCGGGCACCTCCCGCTCCCGGGCACGCCGGCGCCAGGGCAGCACGGGCGCCACTATGCGGCGTCGGCCATCTCGATGACCTCGTCGGCGTCGTCGCCGGCCATGTACCCTCCCTCGACGCCCACACCCTACTTTCCTCCACCTCCTGCGGCGCCCGCCGAGCTGTACGACCCGGTCCCGGCCGCCTACGCCGCGCCGCACGGCTACGTCGCGTTCGACCCGACCGTGCCCGACCTGTCGACGTCGCAGTTCCTCGGCAGCCTGCAGCACCAGCAGCCCGGCTATGTCCCGACGCCACCCGGGACCGCCTTCTCGCCGCCGCCGCCGCAGGCGCAGCACGCGCCGCTCGCACCCTGGAGCGTCGCCGCGCCGCCGTCGCCTCAGCCGCACGTCGCCTCGGTCCCGCCGCCGCACGGCCCGCCTCCGCCGCCGTCGCGCGCCCACACGATCGCGGCGGGCCTCGGCCTCGCGCCGCACGAGGCTGCCCAGGTCGAGGTCAACCTCGCGCCGCTCGAGCCGTACAGCGCCGCGCAGCGCGCGCACCAGCATGCACGCACGGCGAGCGACCTGCCGTACCTCGCGCAGCAGCAGCAGCAGCGCGGCGTCGAGCCCGTGCGTCAGCACAGCGCACCTGCTGCAGCGGCGGCGCATGTGCACGGCGGCGAGCTCGACTTGCCCGATGCGAGCCCGCCGAGGCCGTGCGCGAGCCCGGTGCCGTCCATCCGCGGCGGCGAGGTCCGCTCGCCCGAGCCCGTCACGTCGTCGGCGCCGTCGCACACCCGCGTCTCGCACACGCCGCCGCCGCCCTCGCCGAGCTCGCACTTCCGGCGCGCCGAGCAATCGCGCTCGCCGTCGCCGGTCGAGTCGGCGCCGGCGTCGGCGTCGGCGCACTCGTCGCCGCTCGGTGCCGCCTCCCCGGCGTCGGCGTCGGCGGCGGCGCCGACATCTGCGCTCCTCGAGACGATCGGCGAGGACGGCGAGTCGCAGGCGGGCAACACGGCGCGCAGCGCCATGCTCCCGCCGGGCTTGGCCGACGCCCTGCGCGACGACGGCGGCGCCGGTACCACGGCGGGCTCGAGCCCTGGGCGCAGCAGCGTGCAGGACCTCGAGGAGCTCGTCGAGGAGGAGGAGCGCCGCGACGTCGAGCGCAGGGCGCGAACGAAGGAGGGCTCGCGCGCGGCCGACCTGCCGCCGATGCCGTTCCCGACTACGGCGGCGACGGCGAGTCGCGACGCTCGGCCCCGAGCGCAGGACATCTTCGCGCCCGTCGTTGCGGTCCCCTCGTCCGCGCCTACCGCACCGTCGCCAGCTTCGTCGTCCTCCCCGACTCGTCTCGCCGCCCCGAAGCGCGACGGCGGCGGGCTCTCGGCCCTCGAGGCGCGCCTCGCCCGTCCCTCGACGCCCGATCTGTCGGCTCTGCAGCTCTGCTCCCCCTCGCGCTCGCCCTCGCCGATCAAGCCCCTCGGCAGCCCGGCGCCGCACGCGCGCGCGTTTGCGCCCCACCTCGACCTGCTCCACCTCGGCGGCGAGAGCGAGACGGTCGGGAGCGCGCTCCGGGCGAGGAGCATCTCGAGGGCGTCGAAGCACGAGGAGGAAAGGCGCAGGGCGGTCGAGGAGGACCCGAAGGAGGCGGTCAGGAGGGCGGTCGCGGGCGCCGCGTGGGCCCAGGGTCCGAGCGCGCGGTCGGCCGAGGCCGCTGCACCCGTCGGCGGGCTCGCGCAGAAGGAGGAGCTGCCGGTCAAGGCGTCGGTGGCCGACTGGGTCAAGTCGGTCGAGCCCGTCGCGCCGGCGTCGGTCGAGCAGCCGGTGCGCCCCGTCGTCGAGCAGGTCGCCGACGTCTGCGCCGCCAAGGCCGGTCGGCCGGCGCAGTACAAGCCGCGAGCGCCGCTCAAGCTCGCGGCGCCGGTCGCCGAGCCCGCGATGCAGGAGCCGTCGTCGCCGTCGTCACCTCGTCGTCCGCTCCCCTCGCCACCGCCCTCGCCTCGTCGAGCCCTTCCCTCGCCGCCAGCGCAGGACACGTCGCCGAGCAAGCCTACGTCACCTTCGTTTGGCGTCTCTGCGCCCGTCGCTGTTCCTGAGCAGCCGCCGGCGTCGGCCAAGCCCAACGTCCCTCGACCCGTCTTCGGCGCATCGCCGTCCAAGCGCGACATCTCGCCGGCGCCATCCCCCGACAAGCCGCCCTCGCCCTCCCTGCCCGTACCAGCGGCGCGCTCGCCGACCAAGACGAGCCTGCCGAGCCCTTGGTCCAGCAGGCCGTCGCCGTGGTCGTCCGTCGGGAGGTCGCCCTCGCCCGTCAAGGCCGCATCGCCCGCGCCTACGTCGACGCCCTCGTTCGACGCGCCCAAGTCGCCCATCGCGGCAGTCGTCGACGACGGTGGGCGCAAGGTCGTCGACGTCGTCGAGATCAAGGGGCTGAAGCGTGAGGCGGTCGACCGCGTCGCCGGCTGGCTCCAGAAGGCCGACACCGAGCCTGTCGCACCTGCGCCGGCGCCCGACAGCGTCGTCTCGTTGCAGACCAAGCAGCAGAAGCGCATCACGATCGAGTTTGGCCGTCACGCGCCCGAGCCGCCCTCGCGCCCGTCGTCCTCGTCGTCCAGGACCGGCCTGTCGCGCAGCGCGGCAGCTCCGCCCTCGCTCCACGCCACCGGCCGCCCTCAGCAGCAGCAGCAGGAGCCGACCGTGGCACAGCTTCTCGCGGCCGAGACGCGCGCGGCCATGCGCCAGGCGCAGGCAGACGCGCCCGCCGACCTGACGCGCTCGTCGGCTGTCGAGAAGGGCCTGAACGGGTACCTCGCCGCGCTCAAGAGCGACGCAGAAGACGTCGGCAAGGGCGAGCAGGCGCATCGGTCGGCGAGGAGGGCGGCGCCGGGCAAGGTGAGGAGCGTCGCGAGCATCTGGGCCGAGCGCGTCGAGGAGGCAGATGTGCGTCTCTCCTTCCTTCTCCCGCTCTCGACTGCTTCTGGAAGCCATGACCTGACACACTCTCGTACCCCTGCAGCGCGAGCGCACCGAGTCGCCGCCGCCGCCTGCGGCTCGCGCGCTCGGCCACAAGCCGACCAAGTCGCACTCGTCGATTCAGCTCGGCGCCCTCTCGTCGTCGACCTCGTCGCCTCGTCCTCTCGCGTCCCTCAGCAACTCGCCCGTTGCCCCCACCGCAGGTCCTCTCCCGTCGAGGCGCGCGAGGCCCGTCTCGCTGCAGCCCTCGGCATCGCCCGCACGGCCCTTCCTCAACTCGACTGTCGGCCGCGCCTCCCCGTCGTCATCGGCGGCCGCCGCCGCTTCGTCGCCGACGGCCGGCATGCGGGTCCCGAGCGCGGCTGGAGGTGCGATCAAGGGCGCAGGCAAGCTCGCAGCGTCCGAGAGCGCGCCGGCCGGGTGGGCCTCGCCCAGTCGAGCGGGAGCAGCCGACCGGAGCGGCAGCGGCGCCAAGGTCAAGGACCTCCTCGCGCGTTACCAGCAGCAGCTCGCGTGAGCCTGTCGTGTCGAGCGTCCGCTCCTCGTCGCCATCCCTCGTCCCTCCGTCCTCGTCGTTCCTGCTCTCGCTCTCGAACGCCCCCTTCCGCACAGACCCTCTCTGTTTCTCTCTTTTGTAGAACCTCTCTTACTCAGATTCTCTCGTGTTGCTATGTCTCGTGTCCTCTCTTCACGTGCGCCCGAGAAACAGAGAGCGAGACAAAGAGCGAGAATGAAGAGATGCACAGCGAGCCCGACGACGAGTGGGGAATAGAGAGGGCGGGCGACGACGACGACGACGGGCCCGGGGTAAACAGAGAGAGAAAGGGGGAGGACGAGAGGGATGTCTACGGGCCGGCCATGAGGTCGGGCGGGAAGCTAAAGTCGGTCTGGTCCTGCTCCTGCGCGCCGTCGACGACGTAGGCGATCCGGAGCCGCAGCCGGACGTTGGCGCCCGCGGCGCCGACCATGACGCGCAGCTGCTGCGTCTCTGTCGCGCCGGGCGCCACGTCCTGCCGCGACATGGCGAGCATCTGGAGCTTCTGCGTCTTGGGGACGGCGGCTGGAAGTTGACGCCCGAGAGCGTGGCCGGGCGACGAGTTGGTGAACTTTGCGAGGATGTTGGCCACGAGCCGGTTGGACGAGTCGCGCACGGCCGTGAGCGTGATGACGAGGCCGTTGCGGTTGTACGCCTCGAGGGGCTGGGGTGCGGAGGACGACGACGGGGTTGGTGCGGCGGCGGCGGGTGCGCGTGCGGGTGCAGGTGCGGGTGCAGAGGGGGAAGGAGCGGTGGACGACATGGACGAGAAGAGGTCGTTGGACACGGAAGGAGGGGGAGCGCCGCCGGTCGGCTGCGGCGAGAGGCTGGTCGAGCCAAACAGCGACATGATGTCGTTGACGCCCGACGACGACGACGCCGACGAGGCTGCTGGTGCGGCGGCGGTAGGTGCGGGCGCGTCACCGCTGCCAAAGATGTCGGCGAGCAGGTCGTGCGTCGTCTGCTGCTGCTGCGCCGGGCTCACCGCCGCCGCCGCCGAGGACGAGCCGTCCTGGCCCTCGTCGCCCATGAGATCGAGGAGGGCGTCCTTGTCCCTCCGGAGCGAGCCGACAGGCCGCTTCTCCGACACGGTGCCCATGACGGTCGCCTTGATCTCGGGCGGCGGCATGCGCTCGAGGACGCCGCCCTTGATCGAGTCGAGCTCGAGCAGGGCGCCAAACTCGACGGCGCGCTGCTGCAGCTCGAGCTCGACGCTCGCGTCGTAGCCGCGCACGAGCGTCGAGATGCGCGCCACCTGCTGCGGCTGCGAGAAGCGCGTCGAGAGCTTTGCGAGCGCCGTGAGGACAAACTGGCGGATGATCGTGTTGGTGTAGGGCGACACGAGGATGCGCTCGAGGAGGTCGAGCACGTCCTGCTCGCTCACGGCCTCGCTCGTCGTCGCCTGGCCCTCGTCGCCCTCGTCGGTCGTGGCCGCCGTTGTGCCGCCCTGGAGGAGCACGTCGCCGTACTCGCCGATGGTCCACACGCCCGCGAGCGTGAGCGCCTCCTGCGACACGTCGGCGCGCAGGGCCGTGTACAGCTTGAAGACGGTGTACGACTGGAGGTCGGGCGTGTGCGTCACGAGGCGGATAAAGCTCGACAGGACCTCCTCGCGCACGTAGTTGCCGGCCTGCGAGAGCGAGAGCGGGGCGCAAGCAAGGTCAGTTGCGGTCGGTGCTGGACAGGCTCGAGAGAGAGGTAGGGGCGGACGCACGAGTTTGAGGACGCGCAGGACCGTGTCGATGTGCCACCGGCGGTTGGGCGCAAAGCGCTCGGCGGCGGCGCACACCTGGGTCGTCATGCCGAGCTTGAACTCGTTGTCGGCCACCTCGAGGAAGGCGAGGAGCTCGCGCGTCAAGACGCGCACGTTGGTCTCGTTGACGAGCGCGTACGAGAGCTCGAGGGCGCGGCGGCGGATCGAGATGTCGCCGTCGCGCAGGCAGTCGAGGATGATGGCGCGGTGGCGCTGGACGGCGTTGGTGTCCATGGCGACGACCTTGAGGAGCGTGTTGAGGGCGACGTACCGGATGTTGTTGTCGCGGTTGCCGAGGAACTTGCCGAGGATGTTGATGGCCATGACGCGCAGGCCGCTGTCGGCCTCGATGTCGAGGATGGTGAGCACCGTCTCGTACAGGATCGAGTTGCCGACGTTCTTGGCCGCCTCGGTGTTGGTCGCGACCTGGGCGAGGATGTCGTTCATGGCCTCGCTCGCCTCGACGTCGCCCTTGCCGAGGAGCCGCAACAGGCGCAGGATCTTGACCTGGAGGAACGGGTCCGTGATGCCGCTCACGTCGTGCTCGGGCGAGTAGTTGGTCGCGACGAGCGCCTTGAGGTGTCGCACGAGGAGCGGGACCGCCTGCGCACGAACGAGCGACGTGAGCCTCGACGAGACATTCATTCAGAGCGGGGAGAGAGAGGGCGGGCGCACCTTGCGGAACGGGTCGGAGCCGACGAGGCGGGCCATCTCGGTGACGAGCGTGATGCCGGTGAGCAAGACGCCGTGGTTGCGGTCGCTGAGGAGGCTCATGGCGCGGCCCTCAAAGTGGTCGACGAGCTCGGGGACCTTGTACAGCGAGCGCAGGGCGGCGAGGGCCGCTTTTTTGCGGATGTAGGCGTTGCCCGACCCGAGGCACCGCTCGATCTCGGTCACGAGGTCGCGCGCCATCTCCTCGGACGCAATGTTGGCGAACGTGGCGAGCGCGAGCGAGACGGTCGACGCCGACGAGTGGTTCATGTCGCTGTGCGAGGGGAGCCTGCGTCAGGCGAGGGTGCATGCGGACAAGATAGAGGGAGAGAGAGAGGGACGCACTTCTTGAGCGAGTTGGTGACGAGGGTGAGGACCTCCTGGTTCTCGTCGAGGAGGAGCATGATGCCGAGGTACCCGAGGCGCTTGTCGGTGAAGCGGGGCGACGCGACGAGCTTGAGGCACTCGATCTGCCCAAAGTGGGCCGGGTACCCGAGCATGTGGATGTACAGCAGCTTGGCGATGTTGTGGTGCCGCGTGAACGAGTCTGTGTTGGTCGAAGGGAGGGGGAGAGGGGGGGAGGGTCAGTGGAACGGCTCGAGTGCGCAGGACTCTGGGCGCTGCTCGTTCGCCTCGTCTCGACAGTCGTGCACCAGGCACCCATTCCGCCCTCGCACAGGTCCGCAACGACGAGCGAACGCCGCCGTCGACACGGTGCCGGCGGGCGCCCTCGCCCACCCTGCCGGCGACTCCCCTCGCACAAGAGAAAGGGAGGGCATGGACTGACCCTCCTCCTTGAAGCTGGTGCGGATCGCGGCCGACTCCTTGACGATGAGGGCGCGCTCGTCCGCGATCGTCTTGGTGGACCGAATGGCCTTGATGAGGGCCTTGAGGTTGTAGTGGAGCATGGCGGGCGGTGGGCCTTTGCGGCTGTGCGGCTCTGTGCTTTGTGCTCTGGCTCTGCGCTGCTCGTGTCTGCACGGGTGGGAAGGGACGGGGAACGGGGGTCAGTGACGGGCGGGGGAGGGGAAGGGGGCGCGTCGAGGAGGGGGAGGAGCGGGACGTACACCGGCTCGACTGGGTGCGGTTGAGTGACTGGCTGGCGAGTCGAGAGCAGGAGCAGCGGGTGCTCTGGTGAGCCGGGCGGTGCGAGACTAGGCGAGCAAGTCGAGACGACGACGAGGACGACGACGCGACGGCGAGCGGCGCTTGCCTCTCGACCACTCGCTCGCGCTTGCACTGCTGCACTCGCTGAGCAGGCTACTCTCCCCCAGCTGGACCGCGCCCTCTCACTCGCGGCGGCTCGTCCTCGCGCTTCTCCTCGAGTTCGCTCGCACCGCTCTCTCGCTCGCTCGTCGCGCTCTCGAGGACGGCCAGCTCGAGGTCGACGCGGTCCTGCTCTCCTCGCACCAGCGTCAGGCCAGCGTTGAAGCGGTCCAGAGCCATTACACCCTCGCTCGTCCTCCTCGCTAAGCCACGGCAACGGGTATCCTCCTCCCTCCTCGCTCCGCGCCACACCCGCTCGCTCAGTACTTCGGCGGCGCCGCGCCGTAGCCCGGCGCATCATGCGCGGCCGGCGCACCGTACGCGGCCGGCGCACCGTACGCGGCCGGCGCGCCGTGGTGCACGATGGGCTGCGGCTGCTGGTGGTACACGACGTGGACGCGCGGGGACGGGTTGTACCTGAACGACTTGGACACGAGCCAGAAGGCGTGGATGATCTGCGGAAGGCGCTCGGGGGCGGGTCAGTGTCGGTGCGCGAGAGAAAGAGAGATAGAGAGGGAGAGGGGGAGGAGGGCGCACGCCGGGGAAGAAGCCTGCACGCACGAGTCGACGAGGGTCAGTTTGTGCGCGAGCTCGGGCGCGAGGACCGAGAGCGAGGGAGAAAGAGAGAGCGGGCAGGACGAACCAAGGATCCACAGGCAGATGTTGATGAGGACGTCGCAACCGTTCACGCCGTGGCCCGAGCGCATGGCGACAGCGAGCGGCGGGATGAAGCTGCGAGACGAGAGGTCCGACCGTGTCAGTGTGTCGCGCGGTCGGACACCTCGGAGGAAGGCTCGACGACGCACAAGGCGATCACGTAGAGGCACTGTGGCGCGGGACGAGGAGGTCAGTCGGTCTGCTCGACGGTGGCACCGCTCGCCCGCCGTCGCACGCACCATCTCCGAGCCACTGCTCGTCTCGCGGTGACGGCCGGGCATGTTTGCTTGCGGTGCTGGTTGAGGTTGAGGCTGGAGAGGGGGCGAGGTGGTCGCTTGAGGTGGTGGGGCCGAGGAGGAGCTGCGAGGGGGCGAGAAGTCAGTTCGCGCTTGCCGCGGATGCAGAGGGGGCGAGGACGCACCTGGGAGAGTCGGCGTGAGGGCTGTGCTCGAGAGAGAGGTGCAAAGGCGTGGCGAGATCAGCGACGACGCGGGCGAGGAGGCAGGGGAGATGACGCGCTGCTCGAGGGTTGGCGCAGGGGGAGGGCGACGAGGGGAGACGAGGCGAGAGAGGTAGAGCGAGGACTCACTGCTGAGCTGGTGTAAGCAACGAGGGAGAGAGGCGCGAAGTGCGAGAAGGGAAAGACGCCGTTCCTGCACCGCCTCTTCACGAGCGAGGTCCGTTTCAACTCGCACCTCGCCAGCTTCGAGCTGTTTCGGCAAAAAGAGTCCAACTGCGTCTAAACTGCATCCAGGTGCGCGAAGGGGGACATCTACACAGCGTTCTACTGCTTGCCGCCCACCGCCGCCGCGAGGCCCTGCGCCACGTCGCGCACAATGTCGTCGACGTCCTCGGCGCCGACCGACAGGCGCACGAGCTCGCCGTCGATGCCCAGCTTGCGCCGGTGCTCTGGGTCGACGCCCGAGTGCGTCATGAGGAGCGGCAGCTCGGCGAGGCCCTCGAGGCCGCCGAGCGACTCGGCGAGCGTAAACACGTCGAGGTGCTCGAGGAACCGCTCGGCCGTCTGCGTCTCGGTCTGGCTCGCCGGGCTCGCGCTCGCAATGTGGAACGACACCATGCCGCCCGCGGGGAACCCGCCCTCGCCGTCGACCGAGTAGCCCTCGCGCACGAGCCACCGCCGCGCGTCGTCGCTCAGCTGGGTCCACGCGAGCTCGCGCTCGCGGCGCTGGGCGGGCGACTCGCGCTTGCGCTTGAGGCCCGGGTACCGCACGTCGCGCACGAGGCCGGCGGGAACGGCCGTCTCCTCGAGGTACCGCGCGAGCGCGAGCGCGTTGAGCGACTGCTGGCGCGTGCGCAGGACGAGCGTCTTGATCGAGCGGATCAGGAGCCACGCGTCGAACGGCGACGGGACCTGCAGTGCAGCTCGACGTCAGTGTCGCGCTCGAGAGACTGAGAGAGAGAGAGGGCGAGGCGGACGCACAGCGCCGTGGGCGTTCTGCAGGAAGCGGACCTTGCTGAGGATGGCCGGGTTACCCGTCGCGAGGAGGCCGCCGACGACGTCCGAGTGGCCCGAGATGTACTTGGTCGAGCTCGCGACGACGAGGTCAGCCCCGAGGAGGAGCGGCTGCTGCAGGTACGGGCTCGCGAACGTGTTGTCGATGACGAGGAAGACGCCGTGGCGCTTGGCGACGGCGGCGATGAGGCGGATCGGGACGAGCGACAGGCACGGGTTGGTCGGCGTCTCGGCCCAGATGAGCTGTGCGCGCGCAAGGTGGGTCAGTCAGGGAAGCGTGTGCCGCGAGAAGGGAGAGGAGGGCGCACCTTGGTCTCGGGGCGGATGGCCTGCTCGACACGGTCGACAATGGCCTGGTCCTGGTCCTCGTCACTCTCGACCTCGCCACCGTCGCCCGCCGTGCTGTAGCTCATGTCGACGTAGGTCGTCTCGACGCCCTGTAGCGGGCCCGCCACCTTGAGCTGATACCTGCGCGCGTGCACATCTCGTTCGTCAAGGCCTGCGCGTCCGACGAGAGAGGGTCCTGGAGGTGACGCACCTGCTCGTACCGCCGTACACGTCGCCGACGCTCACGATGTGGCCGCCCTGCCCTGCGAGCGCCTGAATCGCCGTCGCCGTCGCGGCCGACCCGCTCGCGAACGCGAGGCCGCCCGGGCCCGCCTCGAACTTGGCCGGGTCGGTCACGCCCTGCTCGCGCAGTGCAGCGGCGAGGAGGACGTCGGCGCCCTCGAGCGACGCGATGAGCCGCTCGTACGCGAGCCGAGTCGGGTTGGCCGAGCGCGAGTACCTGCGGCGTGTCGGGAGCTGGTCAGCACTTGGAGGCCCTGCGAGAGCGGCTCTTGAGGGAGGACTGGAGGACGCACTCGAAGCCCTTGTGCTCGCCGACGCGAGTCTGGCGGTACGTGGTCGAGAGGTCGAGCGGGGTGCTGACACCGCCCGAGATGGACAGCTCGGGCTCGGACCCGACGTGAATGGCGCGAGTGGCGAACGCGTGCGCATGCTTGTGCGCACTGCTGCCGTTGGTGAGCGGCGCATCGAGGGTGGTCGAGGAGGAGGACGACGAGGAGGAGGCGGTGCGGCCGTTTGCGGGGTGCGACAAAGGGGTCGAGGTGGTTGCGGTCATGCTGGCTGGCTGGTGTGCGAGCAGTGCAGGTGTCAGAGAGAGCGAGACGGGCGGCTGCAGGGGCGGGAGCAGAGCTGACAGCGCTGACACGGACTCGCTGACAACGAGCTCGCGCCATCGCTCGCCTTTGCCGCGCTCTGTCTCCAAGCGCGCAGCGCGGGCGCGCTCGCGCTCTTGCGCACCTGATTGGATCAGCTGCTCCTCTCCAGGGCCACGTGGCCGGCACTCGTCGGCAGCGAAAGCGGCATGCCGGCAACGTGCACGGATCGCTCCTCGCGTCCTCTCGTGTGCACTCGTTGGTCCTGCGCTTCCTTCCTTTCGAGACGCTCCTACCTTGCGAGAACAGCAGAGTACACTTGTGCTCAAGCTTGAGCACTTTGACGCGAGTGTCGGACTCGGACGTCCGGAGCTGGCGAGCTGCACAGCCGAGGTCATCCTCGCGCACGAGCGTGCGCCAGAGGATGCGCAGTGGAAGACAAGGCGAGCGTCCAGACCCGGAAGAAGAGCACCGATCCGAAGATGAGGAAGAAGAGCTGCTTAGGAAGGCCAGCTGGCTCTCGTTGCACGCCGCTCAGGCCGCCCACGCTCTTGCGCACCTGACACGCACGCGAGCAGCGACCCCAAAGAGAAGGCTTCCGGCACTCGGCTATCAGGAAGAGGTGCTCGGAGCGCTCGCTCAACGAGATCGCGGCGGGCGAGCACAACGCCGAGGTTGCGGCGCACCGAGCGGCGGAGGACTCGGCGTAGTCGACGCACGGACCTCTCTATCCCACTTCTTTGGTCGTCGGTGTATCTACAAGGGTTCTGTTCGAGCAGCAGGTCCGCGAGCGAGAACGGCAGACTCGAAAGCTTTAAGCAGGTCAGAGCGCGCTTGCTCCTTCGTTCCTCGTGCGCTCGCATTCGCTCTCTCGTGCATCGTCGTCACCACAGCGTTGTTCGAACGAGCTGCAGAGAGATTCCCAGAGAGCCGACCGGGACCTTCTCAAGTTGACGCTCCCCTGCGCGCTCGTCTCGGCGGCCTCAGCTTCTCCTCCTGCTTAATGCCGTAGGCTCACGACAGCTGTCTGACTCGACGGAGCGTACGCTCACGTGCCGAGCACGTACGAGACGAGTCGGCAGGGCAGTTCTCGAGCTCTCGCTCGGTCTCTCGTCCTCCTCGACCTCGAGCAGCTCGTCGCGGGCCAAAATACGCGTTGCACGCTCGACCAGCACTGCTCAACACCGCTCCCGCTCGAGCGCCTACCGACCGGCGCGCCTCTAGACGCGCACGAGCACGAGCATGCTCAGGCCCTGAGCGGCGGCGACGACAAAGAGGAACTGGATGCGGCGCGCGCGTTGGGCGTGCGACGGCGTCGTCTGCAGGTTGCTGTTGTCGCCGTGGTCGAGGGGCGACATGGACGGGTCGGGGAGGACGAGGTGTCGCAGGGAGCGGAGCTGGACGAGGCGGGAGGGGTCAGTACGTGCGCGACGCGTCGAACGGCTCGAAGGAAAGAGGGGCGCACCTGAAAGAAGAAGTTGGCGAGGAAGACGTAGAGAAAGACGAGCCAGAAGGTCCAGCCGGTGGCGCCGAGCAGGCCTGCCAAGAGCGCGACGATGACCCTGCGCGAAACGAGGTGCGAGGAGCACGGGTCAGGGCCGCTCGCAGACTTGCACAACCACGAGAGAGAAGAGGCGGACGCACCCGACAAACTTGTAGCCCTCGTACGACACCAAGTCGACGACCGTGCCCTCCTCGCCGATGCCGAGGAGGTAGCACCCGAGCTTGATGCAGACAAACTCGAGCGTGAGGAGGCCGAACGCGCGGCTCGCCGACTGGCCGAGGATGTTGGGGTCGAACGTGCCCGCCTTGCCCGCGATGACGGCCGACAGGAGGATGTAGGTGACGACGGCCATGACTGCGCGCGAGGTCGGGGAGTCAGTGTCACCGACTTTGAGAGACGCTGAAAGAGAGGGAGAGAGCAGCGGGGCGCACCGGGGATGTACAGGTCTGGGCAGTTGAGGTCCTCGCGAGGCGGCTTCCACCCCTCGGCGACGCCCGTGCCCTCGTTGCGCACGACGCTGCGACTCCAGGGGCGGTGCCGCCAGGGCCACACGATGAGGCGCAGCTTGTTGACGACGTAGCTGTTCGACACGTTGAAGCTGTGCTTGAGGTGCGCGAGCGGCAACAGGCGCGTAAAGTTCTTGTCGAGGTACGCCTGGCCGGCCGTCAGGGCGTGCTTGCCGAACTGGACGCCCATCTGCGCCGTCGCGTCGTTCATCATGCCGTTCATGCCGCCGCCCGCTGCGCCGCCCATGCCGGGCCACCCGCTCGGCGGCGCGCCCTGCTGCTGCTGCTGCTGCGCGGGCCCCCCTCCTCCCCCTCCTCGAGAGGAAGCCGGAGCTGCCCCACCGCCGCCGACAGGCCCGCTCGGCCCCGAGTCGGCGCCGCCGCCCATCCACGCGACGCCCTGCGCACTCGGCACGCCGTACTGCTGCTGCGGTGCGGCGCCGTACGCCGCGTTGGCCGGGATGTAGGCGTCGGGCGTCGCCGGTCCTGCCCCTCCTCGGCCGTACGCGTGCTGCTGCTGCTGCGCCGCCTTTGCGCCGCCGCCGCCGCCGTACGACGCCGTCGGGTGGAGCCGCTGCGCCCCCGCCGCTTGGTGCTGAAGGTGCGGCTGCTGGGCGTGCGGCTGGACCGGCGGCGACGAGAAGCGCTGGTACTCGGTCGACGACGAGCCGCCGTACGAGTAGGCGTCGGGCGGGGGAGACTGGGACGGGATGTGGGATGGCGGGTGCTGCGGGCGTGGGTGCTGCAGAGGTGGAGGGGACCGCGCTGCAGAGGGACCGCCGTACATGGCCGTCGCGGGGTTCGCGGGCGAGGGTGACGATGAGGGAGGGAGCGAGGGAGGGGAGGGGGGGAGGGGAGCGGCTCGGCGGGGTTGCTGGCTGGCTCTGCTGCGGCGTGTTGGCGTGTGTGCGCGTGTGCAGCTCGGCACAGGTAGCTCTCGAGCTCGTGAGCGAGGCAAGTGGTCGACGTGGAGCAGCAGCCCTCGCTCGCTCGCTCGCGGCGGCCGACCTGCTGCGTCTCACCTTTCTCGCGCGCCACGTCGTGCGAGAAGAGAAAGCGTCTCTCTGTTCAAGTCAAGCGTATCTACAGCGTGTCCCAGCCACGCAGCGTCTCTCGACCTCGGCTCGACCCCTCCAGAGCTCTAGCGCCGGGATCAGCTCACGGCCTCAGCACGCCCGTCCCGCTGCGGATCCCGTCCCACACGCACACGCGGTCGAGCGGGCCGTACTGGCGCGTGATGAGCTTGATGGCCTCCTGCGCGACGAGGCCGCCGAGGAGCGCGCTCGTCTGCGGCAGCGTCGTGCCCGGCGGGGCGCGCGCACTGCGGACGGGGCGAGGCCGGGGGTTAGTCAGTCGTCTGCGCTGCGCTGCGCTCGCTCGCTCGAGAGAGGGTCGTCGCGAGGAAGGAAGGGGAGAGAGAAGAGGGACAGAGGCGGGACGTACACCTCGGCGCACACCTTGCGCAGTCCCTCGGTCCACCCCCCCTCCTCGACGCCCATGCCCTCAAGGTCCTCGCCCTCGCTCCACTCACGCACGAGCCGCTCGGCGAGCGCATACAGCGCCGGCGCGTCGTCGCGGTCGGGCGAGCGCGCGTGCTCGGCCGTGAACAGGCTCGCGGCGCGCAGGGCCGTGTAGATGAACAGGGACGCGTCGGGCGGTTGCTGGAACGAGGCGGACGCCAGGAGCGCACCTGCGAGGGGTTGGGCGAGAACATGTCAGTAGGGCTGGTGCCGTCGCTCGAGCCAGAGAAGCGCTCGAACGAGCGCGAGACCCGGCACGACGAGGGAGCGAGACCCGACCGACGCACCGACCTGGCCCTTGAGCGCGCACGCCTCGTGCTCCATCCTCAAGCTCCGTCCCCTGACCACCTTGAGCCACGCCGCATGCTTGACAAACGTCTCGATCTCGTCCGACCCAACGCTGTCGCGGTCGAGGCCGACGCGCTCGAGCGTGTCGGCGACGAGCGCACGCACGAGGGCGAGGTCCTCGCGCGCCTTGTGCTTGTACAGGGTCTGGAGCGCGACGTAGCCCGACGACGAGGCCTTCATGTCGGGCAGCGCGCCCGAGAGTGGGAGGAGCCGCGACGGGTTGGACGGGTGCGAGACAAAGGCGCGCACGGCGTGCAGCAGGAGCCAGAAGACCGGGGTCTGTTGGGGTGCGAGTGGGTGCGTCAGGGCTGGACGAGGTCGAGATTGCGAGGGAAAGGGGAGGACGCACCGACGCCGTGATGTTCTCGCACGCCGGGTCGGAAAACAGCGCCTCGATCTCGCTCGGGATCTGCGACGCGGCCCAAGTTCAGCGTCAGTCCCTGTACGCACGAGAGCGTCCCGGGCCCGACGCAGAGGCACAGGGGAGAGGCGGACGCACCCCGGGCCTCGTCCCCGCACGGCGAAACAGCGTCACGGCCTCGTCAAAGTTCTCCTCGTCGCTCTGGCGCTTCTGCCGCGCGACGCCGTCCATGAACTCTTTGCGCTCGGTCGAGCCCGTCGGGACCTTGCCGTCGTGCTGCGCGCACAGCGATCAACCTGGATCAGCGACTGCCGCCTCGAGAGGGTCGAGGCGACGACGATGCCGATAGAGAGGGAGAGAGGCGCGAGACGCACAGCGAGCTTCCACTGCTCGAGGGCCTTGACGAGGATGACGACGGCGGGCACGTGCGAGTGCTGCGCCGAGTCCATGGCGGCGTAGTCGAACGAGTGGGCGTGCGCGACGAGGGCCGGGAACGGGTGCGACAGGCGCAGGTCGACGATCGACTCGGGGTGCGTCTCGACGACTGTGCGAGGCGACGGTACTCGTGCATCAGTGACTGGTTGCGGCTGAGGGCGCATCGAGGCACGGAAGGAGAGGAGCGAGCGAACGCACTGGTGACCTCGTTGACCTGGGTCCGGAGCGCCGCGTAAAAGCCCGCGCTGTCGACCTTGATGAGCGGGATGTGCTTGTCCCACGCGGCGTCCGACAGGGCGAGGAGCTCGGCGGGCGACTCGACGTCGACGGCGAGGACGAGGGTGTAGGGCGACAGGTCGGTCAGGGTCGAGAGGGGCTGCGTGTGCGGCGAGAGAGCGGGGTCAGGACGCTTTCGACGGATGGAGAGAGAGAGGGGACGAGGAGACGCACCTGGACGAGCGCGTGGCCCTTGACGTCGCCGTTGAGCTCGAGGAGGAAGCGGACGACCTGCTCGGCGCGGGGCTGGCCGAGGCTCGACGGGTCGAGGAAGAAGTTGGCGCCGATGTCGGCCTCGGTGACGGTCTCGGGGTCGATGATGGTGAACTGGCCGACGTCTGCGAGGCGAGGGTGGAGCGAGAAGTGGGTGAGTGGCCCGAGGCGGATGAGGTGGGGGGAGGAGGAGGAGGAGGGGGTGGACGCACTTGGGAGGACGAGGTTCTTGAGGGTCGAGGCGGCGCTCGCGTTGGCTCCGACGACGAGGACGTGGGCCTCCTCGAGCGCCTGCTGGCCCGATTTGGCCCACAGCCGGAGCTGGCGGTCGAACTTGGCGGTGTGGGCGTCGGGGCGGTCCGAGGCAGGCTGTGCGACGGGCGGGAGCGGGACAGAGTCCTGGACGGGAGGCTGGAGGAGGTCCTCGGCCATGCTCGAGGTCGACTGGTGGTGCGAGCGAGGCAGAGTGAGGACGACGACGAGCGCGACAGAGGGGGAGCGAGCAGGCGGACCCTCGCCCTTCACCACACGCCGAGCTCCAGCAGCCAGGCAGAGCTCTCCAGCACTCTCAGCCACCTCGTACGACCCACCCTACGCTCCTCCAGCCGCCCTCGCACCCCCCTCGACCCTCCCTCCTCCTCATCGCTCTCCTCACCCTCGCCGAGCCACCCCGCGTCATTATCGCCACGAGCGACCCGCGCGAGCCACTCGACCTGCCCAACATGGCCTCGACTTCCACCAACGGCCGCTACAAGCACACCCGGGCCATCCTCGGCCCCGAACTCTTCGCCAAAGTCACCAACGCCCGCGTCCTCGTCGTCGGAGCCGGCGGCATCGGCTGCGAGCTCATCAAGAACATGGGTCCGTCCCCGTTGCTCTCTCACTAGACCACAAACAGGACCCGTCACTGACCCGACTGCACATGCGCACAGTCATGTCGGGCTACGGCTGCGGCGAGCGCGGCGAGATCCAGGTGCTCGACCTCGACACGATCGACCTCTCGAACCTCAACCGCCAGTTCCTGTTCCAGAAGCAGCACGTCAAGCGACCAAAGGCCGTCGTGCGTCCCCCCGTCCTCCTCCCTTGCCCACATGTGAAGCTGACCTCGCTCCTCCTCGTCCAGGTCGCTCGCGAGACGGCCCTCAAGTTCAACCCGCACGTCAACATCACGGCGCTGCACCGCAACATCAAGGTGAGCCCCTTTCTTCCTCTCCTGTGCCCGAGCGACCTACTGACTTGCCCTGATCGTCCGCAGGACGACGAGTACGGCGTCGAGTACTTCAAGTCGTTCGACTTTGTCATGAACGCCCTCGACAACCTCGGTGCGTCGCCCCGCCGAGGCCCTCTCTCGGTCGGTGCTCTCGCAATCGGGCCTTGACCCCGCGCCACCCACACAGACGCACGCCGGCACGTCAACAAAATGTGCCTCGCGGCCGACATTCCTTTGCTCGAGTCGGGCACGTCGGGCTACGTCGGCCAGGTGCAGCCCATCAAGCGCGAGACGACCGAGTGCTTCGACTGCACGGGTGCGTCGTTGGGTTGCGCTTCTGCCACTTGCGTCGGCGGCGCGGGATCGGCCAGATCTTGTCGGGCCCGCTCGCCGTGCAACATGGACGCGCACTGACACGCGAGAGTCCCCCCTTCGCAGGCAAGCCCGTGCCCAAGACGTTCGCCGTGTGCACGATCCGCAGCACGCCGTCGACGGCGCACCACTGCATCGCGTGGGCCAAGTCGTACCTCTTCCCGTGCGTCCCCTCGCCGCTCGATCCTCTCTCTCTACTGCGCCCCCCCCCCGAGGCGCACAGAGACTGATAGATAGTGGTGTACGCCTCACAGTCAGCTGTTCGGCGCCGACGACGAGGCCGACCAGCAAGAGCTCGACGACGCCGAGAAGAACGGCGAGAACGTCGACGAGATCCAGAACTTGCGCCACGAGGCCGTCGCCGTGCGCGAGCTACGCGCGACGCTCAACCTCGAGGGGGCGGCGAGGCGCGTCTTCGACAAGGTGCGCGTCACTCTCTCTCTATCTCTTTCTCTATGTCGTCGCGGTCCTGCTCGACGTCCGAGCCAGCACTGACCTCGTTCCGAGTCGGTCGGTTCGTCGCACAGGTCTACATCGCCGACATCGAGCGCCTGCTCAAGATGGAGGACATGTGGGCGCACCGCAAGCCACCGCGCCCGCTCAGCTGGGACGAGTTGTCGGCGCCCGCACCGGCCGAGGAGGCCAAGGCGGCCGAGAAGAAGGACGGCGACGAGGCAGCGGCGGCGGCGGCTCTGGTCGAGAACGGCAAGGGCGAGGGCAAGGGCGAGGACAAGGCCAAGGAGGACGTGCGGTTCTCGAGCCAGAAGAAGCTGAGCGTGCGCGACTCGTTCGCCCTCTTCGTCGATGCGTGCGTCCCTCCTCTCTCTCTCTCCTCTCCTTCTCTGTGTCACCTCGTCGCCGACGACTGACTGCCGGTCCTCGTGCACCCGCAGCGTGACGCGCCTCTCGGCGCGCTTCGACCCCAAGGGCGACCCGCTCGTATTCGACAAGGACGACGACGACACGCTCGACTTTGTCGTCGGTGCCGCCAACCTGCGCGCCGCCGCGTTCGACATCGAGATCCAGACCCAGTTCCAGGTCAAGGGTGCGTCGTCCCGCTCCTCCTCCTCCTCGTCCTCCTTTCGACCATTCCTGACCCCCTCGAGCGTCGCCGCCGCGCAGAGTACGCCGGCAACATCATCCCGGCGATCGCGACGACCAACGCCATCATCGCGGCGTGCCTCGTGCACCAGTCGCTCAACGTCCTGCGCGGCACGTGGGATCGCGCGCGGACCATCTGGCTCAAGCGCACCTCGGGCCGCGTGTTTGACGTGAGCCCGCTCTCGCCGCCCAACCCGCACTGCGCTGTGTGTCGCGTCGTGTACGTGCCCGTGCGCATCGCGCGCGACGTCACGCTCGGCGAGTTTGTCAAGGGCCTCGTCGGCGCAGGCGGCGAGTGCGAGGGCAAGGTGCCGTTCGAGGGCGTCGTGACGGTGCAGGAGGGGACGCGCCTCGTGTGGGAGTCGGACGACTTTGAGGACAATGCCGACCGCACGATGGACAGCCTCGGGCTCGGCGAGGGCAAGTTTGTCACCGTCACGGACGACGACGAGCCGCACTGGCCCGTCCAGTTCTGCATCTCTAGGTGCGCCCTGGCCCTCTCTCTCTCTTTCTCTCTCCTGCGCCTCTCTCTCTCGTGCACAAAGAACTGATCTGTTCCCCTCCCTGCGCCGACAGCTACCTCCCCGACGGCGCCACCCCGCGCCTACAGCCCGACCTCTCATCCCTCCCCTCGCCCATGCCGCTCCGCGCCCCGCCGCCCGCCCCACCCGCTTCCGCCTCGGACGCCGACGACGACGACGACGACGACGACGACGACGACGGCGACCTCGTCACGGTCGTCGAGGGCGCTGCGGCGCACGGACCCGAGGCGGGCGCGCCCGGCGCCCAGGTCGTCGGCAGGAAGCGGCGCGCCGATGAGCTCGAAGGCGAGGGCGAGGGCGAGGGCGAGGGAGGGGCGAAGAAGCGCAAGGCGGGCGGAACGGACGTCGTCGTGCTCGATGCGGACGACGACGTCGTCATCGACTTGACGTAGAGTTTCGAGCTTCGAGCAGGGCCAGGGTCGGCTTGGAGCAGCAGGACGGGCCGCAGACGAGCAACAGCTTCCACTCACTTTGCGTCCACAAACACTCAAGAGGGAGCGGGAGAGAGCACGACGGTCCTCGCGTTGCAGCTCTCGCCGACCGAGCCATTCCTCGAGCCGCTCGAACCCGTCCCACGCCCGCTTCCTCACTCCTTGCGCTTCTTCTTGCCCTTCTTGGGCCCTGCCCCTGCCCCAACCCCTGCTCCTGCCTCTGCCCCCGCTGCCGCTCCTGCGCTCGCCGCACCCTCGGCCCCACCGAGCACCTCTGCCGCAGGCCTTTTGCGCGCTCCTCCTCCTCCCGCCGGTCCCGCACTGCCCTCGCCCCCAGCTCCCGCTTCCCTCGGCGCGACATGCGGCGCGGCGAGCACGAGAGCGGGCGGGGGCGCCGCTCGCGGCGCCGGGTCCGCAGCGGCGGCCGGGGCGTGCGTGAGGAGGGTCGGGTTCGAGAGGACGCCGCGGTAGGTTTGGCGGAGGGAGACTGGGGGTGAGGGGAGTGCGGGGCTGGCGGGAGGAGGAGGAGCGCGCAAAAGGCCTGCGGCAGAGGTGCTCGGTGGGGCCGAGGGTGCGGCGAGCGCAGGAGCGGCAGCGGGGGCAGAGGCAGGAGCAGGGGTTGGGGCAGGGGCAGGGCCCAAGAAGGGCAAGAAGAAGCGCAAGGAGTGAGGAAGCGGGGCGTGGAACGGGGTTCGAGCGGG